CTTTGATTGGCTTTTTCATGGGGAGCAACCCATCGGAGTCCGATTTTGATACACTGGAAGAATGTGGTCGAAATCAGCGCCGAGGTCACAATGCTGTCTTCGATGATGTCGCGTTTAGTCCACGTCGCGGTGACAGCGTTCGTTCGCGATGATGTTGCAAATGCTCGGTCATCACCGCGACAACGACCGGATTCTGTGTGTCGCAGACGCCATCGCAGAGCGCTAAACTCTTGTTTAGTAAGCGTCTGCATGTGGTGTAGTTTAGGGCTGTTGCGGCTGGAGGCGGGCTAAGGGTGGCGCTGATGGCAAAGGACAATCCGAAAATTGTCGATGTCGCGTCACATGTTTCATGCGTGCGACCTAGATTGAATGCATGTTATTACTCGGTCGTGTGACTGACTACCGTCCTTAAAGGCGCGCTGAACTGACCGACAACTGAATAAACGTCGGCGGTTGAACGAACGACACCCACCATCGTTTCTACACCACGCGAACGTCATTGTTGCGCACCCGATCTTATCTTCTTATCAATCTTTCCCGTCCTTTTCTTGTTTTTCTTTCATATGATCACATACGATGATGAGTTTCACCGTGTTTCGTTATCGCTCTTGATGTTTAGGTTAGAACTGTCCAAAAAGTTGATCATCAGTCGGCTTGATAACGATCGCCTCTCGCAATGCTTCCTTCGAAATAATATAGTCTAGCCTGTAAATACAACTGGGCGTGAATTTTAGTTTATCGCCCAATGTCTACGAACAACTCCCGAAATCGACGACGACTTCAGATGGTGTTCGAGGAGCAGGAAAAAGCCGCTAAATTAGCATCCACAGCGACCGGATTCATCATGTACGCCACCATCACACTGTTGTTGACATTTTAATGAAGGCTGTACCAGTTGTACAGCCATGAACATTTTGCTGTAATACGTACAGCACAGCGGCGTTGCACTTGTCACAGTGGTTTAGGCATGTTGCCTTGTTCCAGCAAAACCTTAAAATACTCCCAATAGAGCGCCAAACTTCGTGAGTAAATGCTCAAGCGTCTCTTTAGAGTCAATGGTTTTACTTAATCCATTCGCGACCGCGCGAGATTTGCAAAGTTTGCCCGTTCGGACCCTGTGGCTGCCATTGTCCACCCGTCCTTTTGATTCTTTCTGTATATCTTCCTTTCCACTCTTTCAACACCCTTCGGTCGTGCTGCTGAAAACAACCCATTGGCGATAAATGGTACAAAATGGCGACAAATGAGCGCCAGCGCGGAAACAAATGTGATAATCGTGTTTAGGACTACCAGTGGCCCTCATATAGGAGGTTTGTTGGGAAAATTCTTCACAACTCTGTCATGAAATTTTGAAGTCAGGAGATTTTTCCTCAAAAAAAATTGAGTGGATGGAATCTTCCACTCAAGGCTGGCGTCGATGAATGAGGGTATGAAGATTCGTTTCAAGAAGGAAAACTTTCCAAATTCTATTTGAAACCCGGTAGCTAACGGTGGATGCCATTGTACCGAGCTCAGCATCCTTGGCAGCGGTGGATGCCATAGTCCCAAGTGAGCACTTTTGTGACAGCCGCTTGTGATTGCCTTTGTCCCGAATGGGGTCAGAGTTTGAATACATCTCTCTGGGGTTACACCAATACCGACTGAAGGGTTACCGATCAAGTGTGGGCACTGAACAGACTAGGGAGCATGACCTACAAGGGGTTGGTCAACAAATTACATTTCTTTGTGCTCAACATTTCAACTTCAGGGCGTCTTGGGAATGCGACAACAATCAGCTATTCTGAAGGGGCTACCAATTCGGAGGAGTAATTCGTCAAATTAATATCTCGCGAATGTTGCTTCTATGTCAAAGTTCAAAGTACGGGGTTACCATTTCTTCGAAATCCAGCGGCGTTCACAGTTTTTCCATAGTTATGGAATAATTCATGGTTCTCCTTTCACATGACATCATGGAACCGGATTTGGGCAACATGGGAAAGCTTTTTGCGAGCGTAGAATACATGAAATGAGCTCAGCGTAGTGTCGATTTCTGGATGTTCTACGGAATCATACCTACCCATTGCAAGAAGTGAAACACGTGATAGCTTTATCAAGCATTGAAAGAGGCATTCTGTGATTGTAAATGAATGTTCAACCTTGTCAAGAATTCGAAATCGTGGACTGGCCAGAGTATTCCTCCCGAAGGATCCAAAACACAATTGGGATACGAAAAGCGAGGTATTTGTACTAAGGATGCTGTTGCTTCTACTGCTGATTTCTCCATCATGAAGGCGTGGCGTCAATGGCTTTTTTTGGATGCGCCGCACATTCTGATTCACATTCGTAGTGACATCTGAGCGCGATTTCGCCTGTCCAAGAGAAGCATGACGCAAATTGACTGGCAATGGAGGGATAGAAGGCTTGGTTAGCTACACCATGATTTAATCCAGATACTGGATTCCCTCGTATCCAGTGGTAACAGTTGAACTGGTCCCACGAATCAGATCAGGTATTCGAAGTCATTTCATGTAGCTTGAGCACTCCGCTTGACCTATTTGAGCTCTTCACCTAATTTCTATAAGAACGCCTTTCCTCATCGTGGGACACCAGCTATTTGAGTTGTAGTGCTCATAAGTTGGCACAGGCAGGTACTCTATCTATTTCAATCAGGCGAGTTGCTAAGTCTCCTCTTTCCTATTTCGAAGTCTAGAAATGGGGCATGAAACCACAAACAATGCCAATTAATTAAAGTCGAGCAAACAGCTGTCCATTTCATTTTAACTATCCTTAAATATAGAAGCTTTCGCCTTCGAAAAGAACTGTTACCACACCAAGAATCCGCAGAACCGATAGATCGAAAAGTGGTCAAAGCGATATCGGATTAGGTATGAAATTTGCAGCGCTATCGAAAGCGAAGAAAGGGAGGTGGGAATGGGAAGGGGACTTTTTGGCAGTATCCATTCAGAAAAAGCAGTGTTAATCTAATTCTGGTTGGGATATCTTCTCACAATCGAAAGAATAACCACAGCCAAATAAGAAAGAGGAGAAGGCGAACTTGTGTGACTTTGTCAGCAATTTTGGTTCCTCCTAGAGCTCTCCTCCCCGCTTGGACTTGTCCAGGAGGACCCATGAGGGTTGGGGGTAACATGCCGTTTCGTGGCTCTTTTAACTGCAGTGGAAAACATTGCTTCTTAAACCGAAGGAATGAGTATGCAGAAGGGAAAGCACAAGAGTGAGTGAAAACTTTTACGCAAGATGAATAAGGAGTTGGTTTACCCATCCCGAAGCTCTTTTCCTCCCAAAGTAATGATCATTTGATTCTAAGTGGTTCCCTGCGTCATTGAGAACTTAAAACTGTACACTCTGCAAAAAATTCGACTAAATGGCATAGGAATGTAGCTTGTAGCGATTCTTAAGGCTAGAGGACTCACTAAGCAAAATGCTCACGCTTAACCGTGATGTGCGCTCCGCACTTCCCCTTCCCCTCCCTTTTTGCAGTAGCCCTAAATTTGTTCCGTCTCCACTAGAAAACCTCTTACCGTTGCTATTATAATATCGATCCTCGAATTTTTGGATTTTTAATTCATGCAATTTAAATGAATCGATTAAGAAAAACAACTTTCGACGAAGAAATCAATGCTCCACCAGATCCTTCAGGAGGCGAGACGCTTTCCAGCTTTATTCAGAGCGGTGGAGCTGAATGCTCATTTTTCGGGCAAAAGGAGTTAAGGCGAATGCGCGGACAGTTTTTCTTCCTCAAAGAGCGGAAACCTCCAACGATTCATTGATTGAAGTGAACGGCGGCGACGGCTTCTAAGCTTGACTTGATTCGGGCTCTTATCTGCGATCGCGTACGCCGTGATCTTTATGCAGGTTCATAATCCCAAAAAATATTGAGTATAACCAGTTAATTAGGACAATAATTGTTTGATTCGATTTTTTACTACAGGTCTTTTTGTGCTAGATTTGTTATCCTAAGAAATTCCAGGTCGATCTGCTTTTTCGTGTTACCGGTGGTATGGTCGAGTATGTTTCATCTGCTACCGCTGTCAGCGCCGGCTTGTGCACCGGCCGGTTTTGATCCATGGAGCGAGTTCACCGACTTGTGAACGGCTTCACACTGCTGTCACGTGTATCAACTCGTAATCATTCCATTTTTAATGGGCCATTTTCCCAGTGCATTCATACGTGTGTTTCAATGCTATGAACTTGGCATTATTAATTAGTGATAATCATTTATCGTCATCCGTCATCTTAATCGTAATACCGAGTACTTGCAATTTCTATATATCGGGTTTGTACGCGAGATCGCGCTACTATCACCATCGCGGTTGTACATATCTATTCCTTTGATTCTCATCGATAAAACTTCTCAGAAACATTTTTGTCCTCGAACCGAGGGGAAGTGATGCATTCTGGACGAAACTTGTAAGCTGACTGATCTATGATAAGGTTGTACACCATGCGTTCGCTTGCCATTCTCGTCTGCACGTGCAAAATCGCGTGAGGGACGGGGGGGGGGTTCAATTCTTTGCTCTTATATGATTGGGCAAAACAGGCCAGTTTGTGCTGGAGGGGAGACCTAGCTGCCATCAGAGTAGAAGGAATAGGCATTGGAGTCAAATTCATCTTCAGATAGCATTCATGGATTTGGCCCAGGCCATAGGACATTGAGATAGGACTCCTTCAAGAGCTTGCACTTGTGAATTGTCACAATTGTGAAATTTTGCAATGATTAACGTATTTGTACTTTATTCGAGATCTATAGAAATATTTGAATGGCTTAAACGCCTATCATATCAGCTGCTTGTGGATTTCCCTTGAAGCAACAAAGTTTTCATCGTTGTACAACAACTACTAGCACATGCTGTGAATACTTCTACATATTCAGAGTTCAGTTGTTGAAACACGTATGCCCAATGAAAAACATGCATATCGATCGCATTATGCTTGAAAAGGCATACAAAATCATTGTGAATAACACATGTTAAACGTAGGCGTACAGGCGAAATAGTGAACTACTACAGAACGATGAATTCCGGATCAGATCGTTTGCGTCCATTGAACTTTTTCCAGAGTAAATCAAACTTCATAAACGGCTGTTTGAGCAAATGCCGATTCACTACTTTCTCCACTTGATCTTCTTTTCGTGCTCGCGGTGACAACCCGTAAAACCCTGAAATTTGTAAAATACGTTTTAGCACAACAAAAATGCATTATCTACGGATGAACTGATGTTCTTTAACTTAATTTTGGCTTTTTGGCAGTACAGCTGACAAACGTAAAGTTCAGTAAAGAGTGACAAATAAGTAAATAAATAAAAAAATAAAAAATAAATAAAAAATAAATAAAAAACTGAAAATAACAGTGTGAAATGCAAAAGTATTATCATCTGAGCAGCCTGATGAGCTTCAATCTCTATAAACGACAGGCTAACTGCATTTTGGACCTTGTTTTTCAGTGAATTTGTTCGTTTCGTTTATATACTATGTACAAAGTTCGCAACTTTGTAATATGAAGTAGGACGTGCTGAATAACAGCCTCTTTTGAGATTTGTCAAAATTAGAAATTGGTTACAGCTCTAGTTCATATGAAGGCATTGAGATTTTATACAAGATCTTTAGATTTCTGGATGTTGGAGGAGCTTTGTTGGATAGTGCGGTGCTGAGCCATGTAACTTATCGCAATTTCAAAATCTTAGGGGATGGTGTTTTCTTCATTCAGAATAATCAGTGCACCTATACTTTCGACTGCCTATATTCACACAGAAGTTGAATCGCACGTCTCCTGAAAGGATTCGCTCTGAAAACGGCGTTTTTAGGTTCGTAAATAACTACGTATTAAGGGTGCTTTTTAACCCCCTTCGGCCCTGGCGGTGGCAATTGCCACCACCAAATTCAAACGTTGCATTGCCGCTGAACAGCATGGTTTTCTAATCCGCTAGAGCTTGCTCAGTCACCTTCCGCCTAATTATGAGCTATACCTGCCAGTTCATTGTGTTCTGCTGTTAGTGTTACAAGTATGTGTACAAGTGCAACAATGAATCGCCGCTGACCCCCGCAACCGTCAAGTAATTGTGACTTGTCTTAAAATACTTAAGTAGAGCCATTCCTAAATCAAAAACCGGGGTTATAATGCTATCAAGATTATAAACTTCTTCGGATAGAACTATGAAATTCGAATTGTGTTCGACGTAAGCTTAAAACTAAAAAGGGGCCAATTTTCAATGCTTCTTGTTTCTTGTTTGTGATCGAATAGCTTCCAAATTCTGCATAATGATACCTATAGCTCACAAGTAATAAACAATAGCTAGAAAGAAAAATTCTCCACGGGAAAATCCAGCTCGAAAGGGTTAAAAACAATTCTCGGACATGCTATGTCTACCACGGCTGCGCTCTCGCAAGACCTATAAGTAATTCACGTGAAATCGTCGAGATAATCAAAGCCATCTCACATGCGTATTTTTATGGATCTGCGGCAGGCCTGGCCGTAGAGAAGAGAATGTAAGTACAGCTTAGTACTTTGTCCGGAGAGCCAAATGCAGTCAAACAGACTGCGCACTGCTGGGCTGCTTCGATCAGCGCTGCGATTCCATGGATCTCTGACAAGAAATCTTCTTCAATGTAGCACATCAAAGCATGATGAGGCTGATGTGTAGTGAAATCGTTACAGTTACAACATAACGCATGCCATACGTTAATATAAAAAAAATTAGTGATTATCTGCGCAAAATTCTGTAGAGCTCTTGAGTGGTTTATTGTGCGCTGTCAGGTGTATAAAGATAATACACTAGCTTTTACGTGAACTACATGTGTAGGTCGCCCACAATTTGCGCTATACATAGATCGACTCGCATTCAAATAACACTCAAACTTTGCACGGAGTAGGGTGCATGGCGCAAACTGCAAAGTCTCGGCAAACGGCAGCGCTATTCCTGAACATTTATCTCTTACGACACGGCAACTTTTAATTCAGTACGTATGTTAGCGTAGCGATCTCGAGAAGTTCTCCATGAATACGATCTTCTTCATTGGATCAGGGTCAAACTGAAAAAGCGTCTTCACGCTGATGCCGATCCCGTCATCCATTGTCATGTGATGTTTCGAAATTGGTCAACGTCCTTGAATCGTACCAGTACCTCGAAATATCGCGATACACGAGGTCAGGGCGTCATTCACATATGAAGTTCTTTCGATATCATTCCAATAATCAAATCTTCTGAGAAACAGTATGAAAGGAATTTTAGAAAATAACGGTCACAAGGCCAAGCTGTACCTGCTGAACTTCAGAACTTGGGAATGTTGTTGAAGACGAATTTACTTGAAGTAATATCGTAAGACAAACTTTTTAGCCGCCATAGTTCTCAAGGATTAAACAATCAGCTTTCACATCCCTCTATTCATTGTTAAAGATCCAATGCTAGAAGCTGTTCAATTTTGTATGCATCCCACTTCAATTCAGAATATCCCAACATCAAATGCGATTTGGCCTGTGCAATATTTCTCGAGGGTTATCCGACGTAAGGTGATTCTTCCCTTCATTTTGGCTGCTACCTAATTACATTCGGCAGAGTCATGGAAGACTCTTCGGATTGATCGCGATTGGATTGAGTGACTCCAAAAATTACCCGTGCTACATCGTGCCACCACACTGCATCACCTCTTGGCCGTTGAACATGAACAGTTGTTGCTGTTGTTATCAAAAATACGCCACTACAGTAAATTATGTTTAAAAATGTCTCACCGATGTTCACTTCGTTTTATAGGCTGTCCTGAAACCCTGTACGAAGCTTTTTGTGGATGAATATACCTGCAATGTGAATGCCGTGTGTATTGTTTAAGCTGACATTGTATTGTTGTAATGCTTTTAGTTATTTATTCATTTCTTGGAACAAAAATCCGCTTGAATACCAGTGAAAGCAAAAAGCCGTGCGAATAGAAAAGCCCGCGTGTTTCGCAAAAAATGACTGCGGAGTGTCTACGGGAATTATGCCTTAGTAATACCTTATTGTTTCATATAGGTGAGAATTAAGTTGAAGAAACGACTCTATACGCTCTGCTACTCTGACGAAGGATCAACATAAAGCGTCGATAAACGCTGAGGAAAGGCTTTAATGAAACTTATTCGAAGAAGCCCTTTGATACGAACCGCTGAATCAGCCTGAAATGCCGCAAAGGAACGATCTTGAGCCAAAATAGAATATTTTTGCACATGACCAGGGAGAGGGTAGGGTGGGGGTTAAGAGCTCGAGAGCGGTGGACCACTGATGTGCAATAAATGGATTGCATTGGATGATGTAGGCATTTCACCGGTTCTCATCATTGAATTACTCTAGAGCTGTCATCGATTCATATGCTTACTGCCTAAATGTCCTCATTTGAACCCGCAGAGCAGAGCGCAGACCTTCTTCAATTCCTTTCACCAAGTATGCGTTTATTAAATACTTTATGCATGGCTATCTCTGCGACCCCCCCCCAAGGCAGCCTGTCGAAATTCTCGCGTCTATCGCCTAGGCGAGCAATACGCTCATACCTACAACACTCGCTTTGATCATTCACATTCTATCGATGTGGACTGTCGAACAGTTAAAGTCCATTCACGAATACGGAGCCATAACACCCGATAACCGGAGAGAAAGTACTGCATCCGGAGTAGTGAACATAAACTGGGCATCCTAAAAGTCTACTCCTGCCTAACGTTAGAACTGAATCTATCCGAATACCGAATATGTGATCACCAAGCGCAAGGTACGCGTTTGTACCATCCATCAACTACGATCCCTCGCTGGTTTTAAAAACTGCATTTATATGGGAGCTGGAAAGTGAGAGGAAAAAATTATGAAGGCTGAATTTTGTGTGTAAGCAAGCAAGGAAGCTTACAAATTTCACCAAAGTGGTTGCGGTTTCAACAATCCGGCCAGTAGGGTACTAAAGATACATCCTCGACACTTTCAGCTCTGTTGTTTTCAGAATTGTCTATTGGCGGGCGGTGCAATGGCGAAAATGGCGGTGGACACCGATTCGAATTAGAAGCGCCTGATCAATCTCTGCAGGAACATTAGAAAATATATTGTCGCGCCGGAAATGCAGACATCTGAATTTGTGTAGAGTAGCCACAGGGCAAAGGCGTTTGTGCACCGCGATCACAATACGTCTTGTTACGAGTTTAGAGGGATTATGTGCGTAATGGAACGCCAATGGCGAATGAAGCGGATATTCTCGTCAATGAGAAAAAGCTGAAAACATATCTACTTATCAAGTGATGACTTTCGCCCAAAGACGGAGATTTATGGACGATTTCACCGCACCGCGTTCGTAGCACCATGCCAATGCTTGCTCCAGCGACTTACCCAGTTTTCACCAACTAAACTACTGGTGGAGCGCCTCGCGACGTGCGGATTTCAAGTACTGCTCAACATCCGGCACACTTCCGTCGTGAAGGCTCTGCACTAAGTTCCTGGACGGCCAGCTACTTGGTTACGCTCCAGAGCCGTCGCGCGCAAGAGCAAAGCAGCAAGTCGCGCGGCAAAGTCGCACACGCCTTATAGGGATTTCGCCTCTAGTTACATAGATAGAGGTCCCACTGCACGTCCCACATCGCACACCATGCGCTGCAACTCGTCCGCCGACTCTGCTTTCTTGCCGCTCGACGGGCCTCCTGTGGGTACCCTACTTTGTGTGGTGCATATACTTCCCCTACGCGCTCTCTCTATTTGATCGCTTGCTCTATCTACCAACTGTACATACACGTGTGTAATGAACATGGCAAATTACTCATGACACAGACTTCGCTGTTCGAAATCAAACAAGATGAAACTCCACACATATTTAGTTTGCTTATTTTCCGACAAAATAGCTGCAGGATCATAAGATTCGATAGCCCCCGACAAGAATACTGCTTGCAAAAGCAACGGGTACACTTGACGGCGGCATGCAGCAGCAATTTTCACTGACGAGTTGTTTCAAAGAAGTTAAGCGCCGAGGAAGCACTAATGCTTGCCTGCTGAATTCTTCATACTGACGAAAACGACCAAGACATTCCGACCCTCTCTGATTATCGTAATTGACGCGTGAGATAGTTTAATTTTTTTTGTAGGGTGGAGCATGAATATGATGGGAAGTTATTATGGGCCAGTTCGAGTCTGAAAGATCGAAACTGGATATCGACTACAGCTAC